CACAATCGAACACAATCATATGAAATTGCTTAAATGGACCCCAGTGCTTATCCCAGTAAAAAAACCCCCAATTGTGTCTATCTAATTTTCATTACCTGAACTCAAGCTTTAATTCTTTGACATACTTATCTTATATGCAATTGGGACTATCCTTGAAAAACCTTTGCAGTTAGACATACCTACTGTTCAATTCTTAAGGCTCTCTACTGCAAAGATTTTGATTGAAAGGGATACTACACTACCAGATGTAAAAGTCTAGCATGATTGTGCTCACAATGGTTATTGACAAAAAATCATTATAGAACCAAGACGTTACTACTGCAAGCACAGCAAGTCGTTTGGACACCCGCAAGAGAACTGTTTCAGATTGCACCCACAGTTGAGAACCAATAGTCAAAACTAAGAATATGTTAGTGCACTCCACGTGACTAAATGCACTTCAAACAAAATTGATGACAGTCAACCTGAGAGAATCACCACAAGACAAGAGTTGGTATCTGCCTCTAGAAACCCTTCTCCTGACCATACTATAAGAGATAATGTTCGGACCAAAAATCAGGATAGCCCCGCAGCTCCTATTCAAGAAGCATCAGGTGCAGAGGTAACAATTTACACTTCACATACACTGGAATCTATCGTTGTGGCAACAACTACTTTTCATTCTACTGCAGTTCTAATATCTAATCAGACCTAGGATCCCATGAGCCAGTCTTCAGATAAAGAATGACGGGTTTACACTTCTCGGCGAAAAAAGAAGGCTAGAGATACACTCCAACTTGGAAACTTAATGGATGATATTTTGGTTACTCCTTGCAATGACACGACACTTCAAAGTTTGTTATCTATCTCCGCTCCTAAAACTAGAGGAAGAAGAGACAGGATTAAACTTGCTCATCCCTAGCTACTTGATTTTTGCATGTTTTAAATTGTTTGAGTCTATCAGTATTATTTTGTTGGGATATTATTGTACTTGGTATTGTATGGGTGGGGTGCCTCTATTAAGAGCTCTCATACAAAATTTATGTATCTTTTCTCTTTCAATAAAATCAGTCTTTGTGCTTTTCAAAATATATATATATTTTTTTATGGAAGCCCTAGGGCTGATTATATTGAAATAAAAAATGATACAAAAAGTTGTATGAAAGGGCCCAATAGATGATGTCCTACTCATACGATACATGGTACAAATATATCCCAACAAAAAAGATACAAAAACTCAAAAAAAGGAAACATGCAAAAACAAGTGTCGCTGAAGTGTTGTTCCATTGTCAGGAGTGACCAGGGTATCACCCATTAAATTTTCAAGCTGAACAGTGTCCCCAGCCTTCTTCCGCCGAGAAGTGTAAACTTGTCATTCTTCTTCTAGAGACTATTCAGTCTGATCCGTAGAAGGAAAGACAGCTGTAGCGATGAGTTCCTGAGTTTGTATAGGACAGTCCTTCAGTATTAGGAAACATCTGCTCTCTCAACAAGTAGTTTTACCAACTGATTAATAGAAGATGATTTGTGTTTGGCTCTAAATCTTCCTCATTAGAATTAGGAGACACATTTTCCGTCATCTGAATGTGAATGTTCGCTTCATCCCCATCTTCAATCAGCTCATAGAGGGGAGCCTGAGCACCCTCCACGGTAGGTAGAGCCTGAGAGGATAGTATGTCCACTCAAGTAGAAGAATGAGCAGTGACCGTGTCCTGCCTTCCAGGGGCAACCACCTGGCCCTCCTCCAACAATCTACCCTTATCAACATTTTCCAAAACAATATCAGTAGACAAACCATTTTGCACCGTATCCGCCATGGGCATAGCAGTAGGTATCACAGGCAGAGAGGAAAAGGGTATAACCTCCACAAAAATGTGTTGAGAAACAGGAGGTGGGGCTACAGCCGACCGTAGATGGGGATGCAGCCGATAACAGGATGAAGAGCTATGGCCAAACATTCCACTGTGAGAGCAGCAATGGGGATGAGGTCCCATCACAATCTTTTGTCAATAACCCTGATGAGAGAAGCTAATCCAAATCACTCATGGAAAGGGTTGAGTGATGTCGCGCTCTACAAACACACAAGCTTCAGATGGCCTGGTTGTATCAAGCGTGGGAGTATCGAGCTTCAGCGATTTCCCAAAAGCAGTTGTCAATGTATAAAGGGTTTCATAATTGGAGAGATGCACCTTGAGCCCTGGAAAATTAACCCAAACTGGGATAATAGGAGATTCGAATTTAGGATCAAAATCCACTGTTTATTTCAAAATTTTCATAAAGCGATTATTGATTTTGAGAACTTTTTGAACAAAGAGTTGGGTATAATCTGCGTCATTTGAGAGTTGAATGAGAACGTGACGGCCATCTAACGAACCAACTTTCCAACTCCCTGTGAGCTTAAGAGAATCGAAATACTTTCTAATAATCTCAAGCTTGGGATTTCCATAGGGAAATTTTCCAACAAGAATATATCTACATGCTCAGGCCAATTTACTTGTTTTATCATCAATGAGAAACAAATCGGGTTTGTCATTCTTTCTTCAGACACTATACAGCAGACACTAGCATCCTAAAAGGATGAAACATGGATAAAACACAAAAAAAAAATAAAACTTGCAGGAAATAAGCTGCTAGACACGAGCCAACTTGGTCTTGCCTGTGCCTCTGGTTCTAGGACCGGATACAACTAACAAATTGTTGAGTGTCGTTCCATTAACCGAAGTTACTAGAGTATCATCCATTAAGTTCTCAAGCTGGGGTCTGCCTCTATTTTTCTTTTTCTTTCTAGATGTGTAAACCTGTCATTCCTCATACGAGGACTGACTCATCTGATCGGTGTGGTCAACAGATTGTTGGGCATGTAGGAGAGAATGAGCCCCTAGCTCCTGACTAACAGTAACAACACTCTGATTCTGGAGAGATGGTAAGCATGTCTCTTCAGCACCTGAAGCATTTTGGGGATGTGGAGCTTCAATACTATCCTGATTATCGGACCCAAGTAAACCATCTGTCAATATATCAGTCGGAAGAACAGAGAGAGTATTGTCTCCGATAGTGGGAGGTGGAGGTGGCATCGTGTCAACGACAGGTATGAGGTGGGCAGATCCAGAAGCGTTTTTACTTGAACGTTTTAAATTTGGATGCAACTGATAAAATTGAGAAGTAGAATGTCCAAACATACGACAGTGAGTACAATAAAGTGGTATTTGTTCAAGTTCTGTTTGCTGCCAAAATCCCTGATGTTGTGTGTCAATCCATATTTCTCTCAGAAAATGTAAAGTAATATCCCTTTCTATCAAAATTCTGGTTTCTGAAGGTCGAGTTCGATTTACTGTAGGGGTGTCAGTTTTGAGGGGTTTATCGTATACCACCCCTAAAGCGAAGTGAAACTCTTGATCAAAAAGGCGGATCTTCAAACCTGGGAAACGCAGCCAAACAGGAATTATAGGAGGTTCAGTACGAGAGTCAAAATCCACCGTCCATTTTAAAACCTTCATCACCTGATTTTCTATTCGAAGAAGTCTTCTCACAAACAAATGAGTGTAGTTTTCATCATTTGATAATTGAATAAAAATATGGCGACCATCCAATTTACTGATCTTCCAACCCCCTTTCAGCTTCATTTGCTCAAAGTTCTTTCGAATTAGTTCAAGTTTAGGGTTTCCATAAAGAACCTTACCTACTAAAAACAGTCGGCAGGGCGCAACTAGGGTGGAGATCTCTGTCTCACTGAGAAAGATTGCAAGTTTATCATTTTTACGGGAAGCTTTTTTGAGAAATCCGGTCTCAATGTCAAGTGCAAAAATGTCATGGTATTGTTGTGGAAACATATTGGAAAGAGGGGCAGAGACGGGGTTACCACTGGTGAGGGCGGTGGCGTAGGAAAGCACTGATTCCATTTCAGACGCCGTCGATCAGCGCAAGCAGCGCACGGCGCGGTTTCGTCGCAGGGCGTAAAGCAGCACACGCCGCGGTTTCGTCGTAGGGAGCGAAGCAGCGCAAAGGAGGAAAGCCTTGCGTTGCTGGGCTCGAAAGAACGACGAGCGCAGGCGAGCGAGCGAGCTAGCGTCAGTGGAGGCCCGACATGGCATATGCTGGCATCTGCAGCGGGTCTGCTAGAGTTTCACCTGATGGTCATTCCCGACGCTGTTCTTTCTCCGGCTAAGCTCGCAAATCGTCTCTCCTCTCCAACCCAACGACATCGCTTTGTTCGATTTGTTTACCGAAGAAGACGACGACGTTGCGACGCGTCTTCATTTTCATTTTCGCGCTCGACGACGACGAACTATATATATATATATATATATATATATATATATTATATCTGCTTGTTTCTCTTATTTGTATATATATATATATATTATATATGCTGCTTTCTCTGATTAGGGTTCACACTTTGCTTCAATTTTTCTATCGGTGGCGTCTTTTCCCGTGCTAGGATTATATTCGAGAACAAGTGAATATCTAGTTGTATCCTACTCTATGGTGGGGAATATCTCCACATATTTCCCTTCCTATCATCTGCACCTACTTGCTACTGCACTCCATGCACCTCGCCTGCTTGACGTCACCCTTCCTACACCACGCTGGCTTACTAACGCCCCCCTACACCTTTCCTACTTGTTTATGCCACATCCTACACCGCCCCTTGCTGCTCTCGACCCTCCCTACATCTCCCTAGCTGCTCCGCCCCTTCCTACACCCTCTCTGTCAGCTGTTGCCACCTCCATCAATCAGCTACTGACTTTTCAAAGCCCCTCATTGCTGTTCAACAGGCTGATCCACCGCCACATAGCCTTCCAACAACAATTTACTTAGCCACCGACACCTTCCCGCCTCACCCTGATAATTGTGTTTGTGTTTTACTTTCCCTCTTGGATTTCAGGGATAACTTCGATTTCAAACCATCTCCTAGTAATATGCATTTTGATGATGATTAGATTTTAAATTAAAAAAATCAAAGAAAATTAATAGGAAAATTGAAATGGGTAAAATAAACATTGATGGTAACATAAATTCACCTCAAGAACCATGTGCAAAAGTTGGAACGCAGCTCTCATTCCGTTATCTCTCAAAGTAAATCGAAATTCCATACAGATTACCTCCTCATTGGACTCCAAAGAACAGTTTATTAGGTGATTCACACAGAATAGTTCAACCTGGAGAATAACAACCAATAATCAATTAATAGTTGGTTCAACAATAGCAGCAACTTCGAATTAAATCACAACAAATTGAATGACAAAAGCACAGGAATTAACAAATAGCATTAGCTAACAGCAGAAATGGGAGCAAAGTCAACACCATAAGACCTGCGAAGTTATTTCTCGAATAATATAATTATAATATTTATAGTTCATAACAATGCCCAATTAAATGATTACAAAGTTCCAAAGTAATGGCCTATTAGGAACTACCACACTCGAGCATGATTGTAAATAACTGCTTCCTGCTCAAGAAATTTTAAAAAACCAACACAAAGACTACATCCAAATAAAAGCCTGGCAGCTTTCTAGAAAATAAAGCTGACAAAAGCTACACCAAACAAACTCTAAATGCAAAAAAATTTCCTTATTTTTAAACATTGGAACTTTCCTACGATTAATGATATTTAAAATAGTAGTTTAAAAAAATAGTCTACGAGAATCAAAAAAACAAAATACATAATGTCAAGAAAATACACGTGCTGAGAGAGTAGAATGCAATCAAACTTTAAGAAGGCCCTCACTCAGATAGTGATAACTCCTGCTAAGTTGAGAATGTCAATGTCATGATTACACTTATGTCATCTACTTTAAAATCTAATAACCTAGCAAAATAAAGATACACATTTTTTATTTCTGCCTCTTTAAGTAATCACTTGTAAAATGTTTAATCTATTATAACATTAAAGCTTCTAGCACAATCTTAGGATAGAATAAACCATAATTCGTTAGCAAACATCAAGTTAGAATGCGCATGAGTAACATTGGAGAATATTTCATGAAGTGCCAAAAGAAATATGAGATTTGGAGAAAATGGCTGATCCGAAAAAGGATGGCAGATAGCCTTCTCAAGATAGCTTTTAAAGTACTAACAACAATATCCATATTTGTTTATACAAGACATGGAAGAACAGGAAAGATGATAAAATCCAAAAATGATCAAGAACATGGGAAGGCGAACAAGGGAAGGCATTGACTCCAAAAAAGAAGCTAGAGTAGGTTTCAGAATACGAAGCAAACAAGGGAGACAAGGTTAAGAAAACAACTTTCAATAAAGTTAAAAATTTAATTTGGTAATTTGTATCAACACAACATAACTCATACAAATTTACTCCACGGAAAAGTTAAAAGTAAACCCTAGGACCACTATCTTCTCTCTATTTAGAACCTGGACAAAGGAATATTTTTTTTCCTTTATAGCTCCATACATCAAGCTATTACAAGAATTATTTTTCCACCTTCGCAATAACTCTTTGAACATACTAAATTCTAAAAAAAATATCTTAAACAAAAATGCTGCCAAAAAAAAAAAAAACTGAAAATTTTATAGATTTTTAAATTTTATAGATTTTTCATCCATTGTGAGTATTCAATTCGTAGAGGATAATACTATATGCCCATCTGATTATATGAAATCCCCGTTGATTAACTAACAAAAACACAAACACACACATAGACACAGATCATGATTAAATTGCAGGGCATGAGGGACTATTTTAGTATTTTATCTTTTATTAGGGTTAAATCCTAAAATGGCCCGCTGGCTATTTCTATGTTGGAAATTTCATCTCAGAGTATCAAATTTATCCAATTTAATCTCCTCAAATGTGAAATTAATCCAAAATGGTTATTCGGAGAATAAAATGAAATTAATTTTATATAGTTGATTGAATAAATTGAGATCAACTTTGCATCACAAGTTCTACATGAGAGACAATTTTAAATCAATTTTGTATAGTAGAAGAGCTAAATTTAAAAAACATGATAAATTTATTTATTTGATACTATCATCAATTTGTTTGCAACTAGAAACCACTTTAAATTTTAAACTTTACAAATACATCAAGTCTTCAAGAAAGATAATTTCATTTTTCACACTACATTAATAAAATAAAGCCGAAGGAGCAGCCTATCGCAATCCAAGCTGTCCTGCAATCACGGGATCAAATTATGGATGAGCCACAGAAACAAATTTCTGCTCCAGAAGTCCGCAGAGAGAATTTTCCTGCCACTGAATGAAATCGGTCCTTGTGAGCCTCCTTCCCTGTTTTGAATTGAGTTAATGCTAAATTTTAGTTGAGACTGATTATATGTCGATATTTAATGTTTTTAGAGACTTTATTTTGTTTTGAATTTTGGAGATTATACAGTCTGAGTTTTGTCTTAAAAAGTGTGGTATCATCTTACTTTGGCAAGTAGTGCCTAAACTTATCGAAGAATAGGTCATGGATCTCCCTTCACAATCATGCCTCGTAAAAGCCAGCATTTTGTGGTTCTCAACCCAGACAGACGTCACGCCTCCTATTATCTTCCAAAGGCCATCGACCACACATCATTCACTTGGTAGCAGAATCTGATAAGCTAAAAAAGTTTAGAGGTTTGCTTTCCCTTGTCTCAAACCAAAATCCTACATAATATAACCTAATGTCTCCACAAAAAATAAAATTATTCCCAAGTTACCCATTTAGCCCTAACCCTTATTTTAACCACATTTCTTTTCAGTTGAAGTTTTAATTAAAGGATGAGAATCTCAACGAGAAGTTCAGGAGCTTATCATGGAAGATATGCAGCGAGGAATTTTCCAATTAAAGTAAGCGGTCACCGATTTTGAAAGGACGAAGCATGAGGATGTTACCCACAACAACAACGGCGACCACCGGGATAGAATTGAGGTTGTCAACCCTTTTCACCAAGAAGAGTCAAGCAATGAAAAGTCGATGTCGTGTCAGTTTAACAGTGATTATAAGAGGGGACAGTGATATTGAAGTAGACATTGATTTACCGGATTTTGATGGTCACATGGATTCGAATGAGTTCATTAACAGGCTCAAAACAATAGAACAATTCTTCGGTACAAAAAATTTTCACCCGACAAAATGATAAAACTAGTCGCCTTTAAGTTAAAAAAGAGTATCTCTATGAAAGGAAAGTTTAAAGTGTCTACTCCAGCGTGAGAGAAAATAAAATTACAACATGTTCTAAAATAAAAAATGGGATACAATGTAAATACCTCATTATGGAATAGTGCAAGACATGTTCATAAAACTCTATAATATGTGCTAAAGAGTTTCTATTGTGGAGAATTACAAAACGGAATTTAATCAGCTCGTGCTGAAATTTGCATTAGTGGAACCAAATAAGCACATTGAGGCAAGATATCTTGAAGGACTAAAACAATTTATTAGTAATATAATGCAAATGCAGCAGGATTAGTCCCTCATCGACGTACAGACCCTAGTTGTGAACGTCAAGAAAAAGTAACGTCATCAGATGACCACCACACTTTAAATCTTAAACAAAAGGTTAGGTAGGTACACCCAATAGAGCACCCAAGCAACCTCATATTGAGGAAAAACTAGTCTAGAATAGAGAAAAAATGGAAATCAATAGAACTCGAAAACTAGTTCCAACAAGGAGGTGCTTCAATTGCCATGATTTTGAGCACATAATGTCTGATTTTTCAAATTTAAGGGTGAAATCTTTCACTGAGTAGGAAGTAGTTGACGAGATAGACAATCACACATAAGAAAATGAGAATATTAGACAGAAGTATCAACTACCAACTGACAAGAGAGATAATAATTGGTCGACAAATCCTTCAAACTAATCCCACGAAAAAGTAATAGTGGCCCCGCCACAACTTTCATATACATTGCACCGTAAAGAGAAAGATGTGTAATATTATCGAAGGCACAAATAGCTGCGAGAATTATGTCTACCCAAATTGTCGAAAACTTGAAATTGGAAACAAAAGCACACCCAAACTTATTTTGTCTTGACTGAAGAAATAACATAATCACACTTTACAAGAAATGTCATATAGAATGTTATCCGAGATAAGTTGAAGAGCATATGGATGCTTGTCACATCATATTAGGCCATCCTTGGTAGTATAATCATTGCACACAACAGGATGGCCACAACAACATTTGTATTTTAATCACAAATTGAAAGCACATTAAACTCTTATTTTGGAAGAAGTTCGATAATGAGAATTCATATAGAATTTGAGAATATGATGACACAAACTATTTTTCTGTAAATCTCGAAGAAAGCATTAGCAGTACTATGATTGGTAGTCCTAGAAAGGAATGAGTTTGAGGAGCCAAGAGAGTTTTAGGATTTTCTAACCTACAGTCTACCTCTTAAGTTGTTGCTACTGAAGGAGGTCCTGAATGCCATCATTTAATATAAAGATGATAAAGTTATAAGCTATTTTTGGAATACGCACGTAGTAAACTAGATATTAAGTTTCATTTTTGTTAAGCAACACACATATAGATAAATGACTAGATAAAAATAGTTAATCGTAACTATCGAAAACTTCTTAGAAAGTACATCACAGCACAATCTAGGTGCTTCCAGAGAAGATGAAGAAGTGTCTCGTGGCCAAAGAGAAAAACGTTGCAGCAATCTACGATCTCTGCTATCCAGCAATCACAAGATAGGATTGTGGACAGGTCTCGGAAGAAAAGTTGAATCCCTGGAGTATGAGAATTTTCCCACAATTGAACATGACCGAGCCTTGTGAGCCGCATTTCTAAGCATATTTTGAATTGATTTGGTGCAAAGTTTTACAAGAGACTATTTATATATAGTAATTTCTTGTTTTTAGATAGTTCCATTTTGTTTTATGTATTTTGAGGATTATATTTTTTTATTTATACCCTAAGAAGTGTTGTATCCCTGTTATATTGCAAGTGAATTATTTTTATCTTATTCAATAATAGGTGGTGGATCTTCCTCGACAACTGTTCCTCATTAGATATGGTGTTTCGTGTTCCTTTCCATTGTTTTCAAATAGGAAAACTAATGAATGCCTCTTATCACTCCTTTCAAATGTTATAAAACGTGCATATTATCATTCACATAATATTCCACAATCACCTCCAAGCTAGACCCACTTTCAAAACATCTTCTAGGAGCTCTTAAAATGGTGTCAAATAAAATCAAAC